TCAGATCCAGCACTGGGAAGGTTAGGCAGGCCACATCCAAGTCCAGAGGGGGAAAGCTGTCTCTCTAGAAGATATGGTCAAGAACATCCCTCAGATCCAGCATCTGTAAGGTCAAGAGGGCCACGTCTATGCCCAGAGGTGGGAAGCTGTCCCTCTAGAAGCCATGGTCAAGGATGTCCCTCAGATCCAGCACTTGTAAAGTCAGGTGGGCCAAGGCAGGGTCCAAAGGTGGAAAGCTGTTCCTTTAGTCCCATGGTCGAGAACGTCCCTTAGATCCAGCACTGGGAAGGTCACGTGGGCTACACCCAGGCCCAAAGGTGAGAAGCTGTCCCTCTAGGAGCCATTGCTCTGGAACATCCCTCAGTTCCACACTTCTCTGTGGCTAGACCAGTACATTTTGATCTTTGCCTTCTGAAAAGTTACTGAAGATCTTAAAAGCTTCTGTCTATGTGAGCTATGTCTGTCAATATTTATGTCAAATTAAACTGAGAAATTTAAAAATATTTATTAACTCATTAAATAAACCCATGACGTGTTAACATAACTAACACTTTCATAAAAATAACTGCCAGCCCCCGCACTCTCCTGTAGATCACAGGCTGTGGCTTCTGGCTGCGGCTGCACTGACATTCTTTTCTCTATGGTTAGTATCTTGTGTTGTCTTCTTTAAGGAATCTTTCTCTAACCAACGGCCATGAAGAGAGTCTCTTCTGCTTTCTTCTGGAATACTATGGCTTAACCTCACAAATGAAGGAACTGACATACACAGGGTATGAGTCGGCGGGGGTGGGCATAGGGGTCCTAGATTCATTGCCCCCCCACTCTGCCAGCACCATTTATTGACAAGAGTCCCTTCCCCACTGCTGGGCAGGGCCCTTGTCAAGTCTGTTGTCTCCATAGAAGGGGACCTTGACGTCCTTTTCTAGTGGTATATTTTGTCTACCCTTGTGACAATACCAAACCATTTAACTAGAGTATGTCTATAGAGTCTTAGACATCTGGCAATATAAACATGAGCTTTGTTCAACGTTTTCTGGGCTATTCTTGACTTTTTGGATTTCTGTCTACATTTTAGAATCAATTTGTCAGGTTTCCCCATTCCCCCCAAAAGCTGGGTTTTGGCTTGAGATTGCATGGGATCAACTAGGAGGGAACCCCTGATCCGTGAACCTTCTGACCCCAGAGACCCCCTTCCCCAGAGGACTCTCATCTAGATCTTCTGTTTCACTCACTATTTTTAGACTGATCTCTGGGCATTAATGAATGTTTTAAAAAAATGCGACTGTGAATGGTTCACTTAAAACTTTACTTTCTTTTTTAGCCAGTATATAGAAATACAAGTCATTTTTGTCTATAATCTTCCCCTGAGTACTCGGTTGCATGAGCTGAGGCCCTGCCCCCTCCTCTTCTGGTAACCACTGGTCACTCCTCTCCCAAATTTTATTTGTACTTTTGTGTTTCATTGTCTGCTTTTTAATTTTATTTATTTATTTATTTTAAAATTGTGGGGTACAATTCGGGGTTAGGTATACAAATATTCACTGTGCAGGTACCCTTGTTGATGAGGTGTGCCCCCCCATTGTCTGTTTTTTTAAAGCTTTGAGGCGGTTGCTTGGATAACTGACTTTCAAACATTCTTCTTTTCTAGTATAAGCATTTAAAGACACATCTTTCTAAGCAGTTTTAGCTGCATTGCAGTTTTACTCTATTAGTTTTGCTTTGTAGTATTTTTGTGATTCATTTGAAATATTTCAAATTTCCATTGATTTCTTCGACAGATGGATTAGAAATCTAATTCCCAAATACATGAGGATTATACAATTATCTTTCTGTAACTGACTTCTCAGCATCGTTGAACTGTGGTCAGATAATATATTTCATGTGAATTATTTTGGAGTTTGTTTGAGACGTTTATAGCCCAGCATTCTGAGGTGTACATTTGTGTCTGAAAAGTATGCTACTGGGTGTTGTGCTCCACAGACATCCATTTGGCTAAGTTTGTGAATTTCATTATTTCTGTAACCTGATTTTTTGTATGCTAGTTTTTTTTTCGACCAATTACCAAAACAGGTATGCTAAAAATCTCACTCTGATTATGTATTTGCCTAAATTTCCCAGTTCTATCAAATTTTCTTTTATATATTTTGGCTATATCATTACAGTGTATATAAATTTAGAATTATTACCTCTATCTGGTAATTGAACTGATCCTTTTATTCCTGAAAAAAAAAACCTGCCTTAAACTTTACTTAAATATTAATATGTCTACACCAGTTTCCTCATGGTTACTAGTTTTAGATATATACTTCTCCATTCTTTTCTTTCAAAATGTCCAAGTTCATGTTTTAGAAGCGTTTCTTGTAAATAGTGTGTGGTGATTGGTTTTTTTTTGAGTTGGAGTCTCACTCCGTTGCCCAGACTGGAGGGCAGTGGCACACTCACAGCCACCCCAGCATCGACCTGTTGGGCTCAGGTGATCATTCTGCCTCAGCCTTCCATGTAGCTGGAACTACAGGAGTGCGCTACCACACCTGGCTAATTTTTTTTCGAGTTATTGTAGAGATGTCTCGCCAAGTTGCCTGGGCTGTTCTCAAACCTATGGGCTCAAGCAATCCCCTCACCTTGGCCTCCCAAAGTGCTGTGATTAAAGGCTTGAGCCACCGTGTCCAGCCTTGGTGATTGTTTTTAACACAAACTTGATCTTTGTAACCTCTTAACATTTGTCCATTTACATTTAATGTAATAATCAATCTATTTCAAATGTCTTGCCTTCTATTTGTTCCACCTGCTCTGTCTTTTTGTCTTTCTCACTCTCTTCTGAAATTCTTAAATCTGTCCACTGAGCTGATCATTCAATCCTCCTTATTAGGTTGAAAGCAGGGAGTGCCTGCAGGAACCAGAGTCGGAATTCTGAGGCTTGCTGCAAAGTGCCTGGAAATCTTACAGGGAAGCTGCTCTCGAAAGGCGTGTGTTCTTTCAAAGACAAATACTGCAGCAGAACTCTTGGCTGGTAAAACAACAGACTTCAATCTTAGCTTCACATCCTGGGCAAAGCAGGGGTTTATTTCCATCGCAACACGTGATGACCTTGTGTTGCATCATTTCACAGTTTTTACTTTGTGCAGCACAAAAGAATTCTCAGCAAAAGAACATTCAAGATTAACGCAAGCATGACCAGGTTTATTATTCAACTTGCTGCCACGTGGTAAGTCTTCCACCAACAGAAGGAAGCAGTTGTGGAGGTTTGCGGCCCCCATCCCCAGGAGGAACAGGTGTGGGCCTCTCCCAGGCCGGCTCTGAGCCCGCTGAGCTTCTAGCCAGTGAACACCTGACGGAGGGAAAAGGGGTGAGAGGGAGGGGCTGGAGGCATCGCAGGGAACCCAAAGCCCTGCGAGGAGACGGTTGACCCAAGGCTTCCTTGGCGTTGCCTCTGTCATGGTGAGGAGGCTTGGGGGGGCCCAGGGCTTGTCTCATGCACTGCCCACAGATGCAGGGACAGACCCGTGGTCCTGCTGGGAGTTCAGCTGCTTCTCATGACCCTTCAAAGAGCTTTTGGTTTAAAGGGAAAGGAAACAAATCAAAATGCTTTGGAAACACAGGCAAGCTGCAAACCCTCCCTGCATAGGAAGTGAGTGAGCACAGCTGTGCCGAGGGGAGTGTTGGGCCACCCTCCTGTCTGGGGCCTGCTCTGCCCTCCTTCAGGTGGCTTCCCTGGAAGCAGATGAAGGAGGGTATCTGGCAGGCATGGATCATGGATCATATCGGAGGCAAGCCTCAGGAGGACAAGCTGCCCTTGCCTCCTGGACCCTGCCTGGATGGCCCTTCCCGAGTCGCCGCTGGGAGGATGGCTCAACCAGGTTTTTGAGTGGAACAGAGGCACATTGGAGGGCAGTGGTTCAGACCTCCTAGGGAGTCGGGGTGGCTGGGCCCGACTCCTCCAGGCTTCGGAGATGGTGGTGGACGGGCGGCACCAGGCGGGGCAAGCGCAGAGGAGGCAGCTGCTCTGACCTCCGGGGAGACCTGCTCTCTACGCAGAGAAGACTATGCATGTTGTGTCTTTGAGAATGCACCAGGCTCCTTGAGACTGTGTAGGGCTGGCAAGGATGCCGAGGGGGACCCAGAGGGACAGTTCCCCCCCGCCCCCGCTTCTGTACCCTGCTCTGCCCTGGATAGCTACTGCGTTGCATCCTTGGAGGTGTGGCTTCCTCCAGTGCAGGGACCCCACATGGGCCCCAGGGGCCCAGAAGTGCGCTGCCTCAGATATGAAGGGAGATATGCGGGCCCCTCCGTGCAGCACCAGGTTCACACACTGTCACCCCTGCCCCATGGTCCAGCTGAGGGAAAAGGACGGCCTTCAAGAGCAAGTCCTTCTTTCCTGGGGACCACAGCAGACAGAGGCAATCTTGCCGGCCCATCTCAACGGGGCTGCTGCCTGAGACCACATCTAAACGGAGCCCTGTAGCCATAGAGGGAGCCGTTTTGTCTTTTGAGGGGAAACTGTGGAGACTCCAGGGCTCACAGCCAAGTGCTCAGGCCCAGCGCTGGTGACAGGAGCCCTCAGGGGCAGCCACACGAGGCACCAGCTCCCAAGAATCCCTGCCTCGCCTTTCTCATGGCATTCCTTCATGCAAGAGGAACCTTCCCTCTCTCCCTACCACCTCTCCCTTTCTCCCTCTCCCTCCCTCTGTCTCTCCCCTTTCCCCTCTCTCCTTCCTCCCTCTTCCTTTCTCTTTCCCATTCCCTCCCTCTCCACCTCTCTCTCTTCCTCTTCCCCCTCTCCCTCCTCGTCTCTCTTCCTCCTTCTCTCCCTCCCTCTCTCCCCACCTCTTTCTCTCCCTCTGCCTTCTCTCTTCCCCTCTCTCCCTCTCCCTCCATCCCTCAAAAGATCAAAACAGGCATCTTGCACATGTAAAAGAACCCATGTGTCCTGCTGAAGTGCCATGTGTCCGGGCCATGGGTCTCTCAGGAAAGCTCTAGACTTGGTTGGAAACACGACTGCATATTGGACAGGAGCTCTCGTTTATTGTTGCAGCATCTCCTCTCTGTGCACTACAATTTAAGCCGACACCTACTGCCATGGGCACCAGTTCTCCAGAGTGTGCGAGTGATCCTTGGCTGAGGAGGACATGCCAGGTCACCTGCCTGCTTCTGTGGCCCAGAAATAAAGTAACTCGCAGGCTGCTGGGCCGGAGGGCTCGGACGGGTGCCCCACCTCACTCGGAATCCATGGTGAACAGCTGGACGTTCTGCGGGTTCCAGTACAGGCCAACGGCGGAGTTGTAGACCAGGGACCACACGTAGGGGATGAAAAACTCCTCAGGCTGCTCCTCCTCCACGTACTTGAACTTCAGTTCCGGAAATTTCTGCAACGAAAATAAGACAACCTTGGAATCTCGTGCGTCCTGCGCACAAGCAGACATGGCGGTGTCTGCCAGCGGGCTGTGGAGGGCGTGACTCCAGGGGCCATGGGTGACCAGCTGTGCATCCCAGCCCTCGGCACTCACAGGGTTCCTGTGCAAACCTGCTCCCCGCGGGAAGAGCAGGGGCCACACTGGGTCCAGCCAGGGGCATGCCGGGGCTGGTGGGCTGCGAGTGGGACCCAGCAGGGTGGATGTGGGAGGAGAAAGGCCACCCGAGAAGGGCCCAGTATGGGAGGCCGACAGCAGAGGATGTGGCCCTACTCTCAGCACTGAGCTGCAGCTAGAGCCTCTAAGGCCCAGCCTCTGCTTCACAAGACCACCCTGGGGTGACCCCTGTCTCAGTGTGGAGGGCGAGACAGGAGGGCCCTGAGAGGAGGGGAGGCAGGGAGAGAGACGAGGGACAACACACAGCCATACAGGCATCCACACTGACCACAAGGACGGAGCTGCTGCGTCCTGGGAAGCCAGCCAGGCACCGAGCACACTTATGCATGGACAGACCAAGGTAACCGTCAGTCACACTCCGCGGCCTGCCCCGTCCTAGCCACACCGGCTGATGTCTCACACATGTGATCTACCTTAACCCTTCCACGGGACTCCGTTCACTTGCTCGTTCATTCACTCCTCTGACCGACTGCTACCTGGAGCCAGGCAGGTCCTGCACGGCTGGCCTAGAGTTCAGGGGTACGTGGTCACACAGCTTCTGCTCTCACAGAGGGTGGAATTTTATGGAGGAAAGAGACCCTCACAGCAGCATCGGCAATGAAGTACCAAGTACGGCAGGGCGGCAGAGCGGGAAGGACAAGACACTGTGGAGGTGGGGGCAGCAGAGGCATTGGGCGAAGGGGGACAAGAGTTCCTCCAGGCACACGAGACCAAGGCCCAGGAGCTGGAGGGCAGTGGGGGATGGGGGACACATGGAGAGGGCGGGCCATGCAGTGATAGCTCCCATCTCAGTGTGGGTCCAGGGTGCAGGGCACAGGCGGGGCAGGGTCAGATCTAGGGATGGAAAACGGACCTGACCTAGGATGCTGCTAGGCGGGTAGATTCAAAAGACTGTAGGAAAGGAGAGGGGCAGGAAGAGGAGCCACACACACGCGCACACACACACAGACCTCTAAGACACAGACATGTGCACACATACAGGCACACATGCACAAAGACATGCACACGCACACACAGACATGTACATACAGACACACATACACACACACACACACACACACACACACACACACACACACACACACACACAGGAGCTGTGCAGGGATTTCAAAACAACATTTACAACAACTGAGACTAAGAACTTCCAAGTGTCGGATGCTCAGGGTTCCAGAACCATTGAAGAGGGGCAGAGTTCTGTGGGAATTCCTAAGAGGAGTGCACTGTCAGCGACATGGTGTCAACACACCAGATGGCACAGCCCCACCTGCCATGGCATCTGCAAAGCCACGTCCCAGCATGTGGCATCTGTGTCGTGTGAGTGGGGACACATGCAGACCCCAGTGTCACCCACACCCGCATCCTCCCTCCACCCCTTCCCAAAGCAACTGGCTTGGAGACCCCAGCCTCTCAGATGCTGGTGCTCCCAGGCAGTTCTACTGTGATCACAGTGGCCGTGGTAAGCGTGTGACGTGCTACTGGGCTCTCGTCCACAGGGGATCCAGGGGGCCTAGCCCTCTAGTTCCTCATCAGCTACTCCTGAGGTCCCCCACCCCCAGAGTGCTCTGGGCGTCCCTGACCCCTCGGCAGCTCTTGGGTCTCTGTCATAGACTCAGCACCTTTCTGTGAATCATCTGCAGTACAGCAATGAGAGGGCTCCTCGCTCCCACCCGGACTCCACAACACGCCTGGTGGCCAGTCTTTGCCATGCCTCCTTCAGAGAAGAGGAGCCCAGGGTGGCTGAGGCTGGGCTCTGGGCCACGCACCTGCTGACATGGAGGCAGGTTCAAGGTCTTGCCTGGCACAGTATGCAGGCCCTCCTGGCCTCTACCCCACAGACCTCTGCAGGGTGGGTCAGGTCCTCCACCAAGGAACCAGGTCACGGAGGATGAGTGCTGTGAGGAAAGGATGCTGCCCACCCTAGGGAGAGCAGAGCCTTGTCCACAGGCTGGCCCACACCATCAGCCCTTACGCCGACGCAGGGGGTAGAGGCTGTGGGGGAAAATGCACGCCTGACAAGTCTGCTGTAAACTGCCCACACAGCTTCTTCCAAAAGTGACAGGCACGAGGTCAGAGTTGGTCCCAGGCCCCTGACAACCATTTGGTTAGGAGAAGAAGTCCATGCTGCTCTTGACCTTGTTAGTAGACCTGGGTAAGCCCTGCAATAGGCCTCCCACCACCTGGCATGGGTGTGTCTACACCATGGAGACCCTCCCTCCCATGGGAAAGGAGCCCACTCCGCCAGCGAGTCACAGCTTTCACGTGTCGTGGACAATGTCTCAAGAAAGGCGGCACCCAAGTGGCAGGCGTGCCCAGGGCACAGTAGACAGTGCTAAGCTGGCCTGTCCACAGTGACACATGGGCTCATCATGAGGCCCTCTTTAAGCCAACAGACGTCCTTTCTTTTTTTTTTTGAGTTGGAGTCTCACTCTGTCGCCCAGACTGGAGTGCATTGGCCGCTCCTGGCCACTGCAGCCTCGACCTGCTGGGGCTCCGGCAATCCTTCTGCCTCAGCCTTCCAAATAGCTGGAACTACAGGTGCATGCTAGCACACCCAGCTAGTTTTTTAATTTAATGTAGAGATGAGGTCTCACCAAGTTGCCTAGGCTGGTCTCGAACCGCGGACTCAGGCAATCCACTCACCTCAGCCTCCCGAGGTGTGGGATTACAGGCTGAGCCACTGAGCCCGGCTCAGACGTCCTTTCTATACAGCAGCTCTTCACAAGAATGTGATACTCAACTCGCAGACGATGGCGGCCCCTGCACTGGCACGCTGGCTGCCTCTCTCTGCAACGAGTCCTTGGGACAGCTAGGAGGAGCTGCAGATGCAGGCAGGCACCTGGATCTCTGCCCCTCTTCTAACCTGCTTGCTCATTCTTGGGGCCCTGGGGTGTGGTGGCCATGCGGGTGCAGCCTTCGAGAGCACACAGTCTGGACCTCGCTTGCCAGTGACGCATGCAGTCTCCTCCCCTCGCTCGGACTTGAGCTCTGAGGAGGACATCCACTCCACTTGGAGGCTCTGGATGACCTGTCCTGCCCACCCCGTGAGGATCTGTGTGTGGGGCCTGCAAAGCACCTCACATGGTCAGTGTGTGACAGGCAGTGGCTGCTGTCAAGGACATCCCCGTGGCATGGGAGTGGACGGCGTTCTCATGATTCTCAGAGCCTGAATCTAAAGGCTGGATTGGAGATATGGCTGGCCTGGCCATGCTGTCTCTCACTCGTAAGTAACAGAAACACAGCACTGAGTCTCCCACATGAGACCAGAAGCAAGTGCCCACAGACATCTACAAGGGCATGTGTGTGGCCACAGATGCCATCTGGGAGTGGGCGGCCTTCCCTGGGAGTGAGCCAGGCCAAGTGGAGGGGGCGTCGCCTTGGGCGGGTCATGGCTGTGGGAAGGACAGAGGGTCACTTCCACATGAGCTTGACATCCGGAACGTGGCCCCGGCATCCACACCCTTCTGTTAGGTCAGCAGCACCCAAGGTGGAGGGGCTGGCCAGGAGACACGGGCCTTCTGTGGGAGCTCAGCACAAGCAGCACGAGCAGCCTCCCAAGGATGGGCCTCTCACATGACAGGCCTGGGTATGAGCAGAAGTGCGCCTGGGTGCACTGGTGTCTGCCGTCATGCCGCTCAGCGCGCAGCTCGTCTGCTGGTTTGCTCATTGTGTGTGTCATGTTCCTGCCAGAACATAGGCTCACAGAAGCAGGACTGATGTGCACCGGCGTGTCACTGATGCTCCAGAGATGACTGCTGGATGAGGAGTTTGATACACGCCCGAACGACCTCGAGCCCCATGACAATCCTGCGATGCAGCAGCGGCACCACCTCTGCTGCGGAGGCAACAAAACTGAGGCTTGGAGGGACCGGGGACAAGAAGAGCACAGTCAGGGTGGAGCTAGGACCAGGTGGCCCGGTGTCTGCTGCTGCCTCTGAGGGCAGGCCTCTGGGCCCTTCTGGGGATGCGGTGGTCCCTGCAGAACTGGCCTCCATGCCTCCAAGCAGTGAACGAGAGCCCCAGATGCTCCTCCGGCGGCACCAGCCCACAGTCACTGAACCGGTGTGCCATGGACTCCCCATGAAGCCCAGACAGGGCCAGGCTACGGCTCTGACCTGGTGCCGCAGCTCCAGCCTGGCACAGCTTGCGGCAAGCAGTGCCGTTTGGAGCAGTTCGTGGCATCTCTCAGGACTTAGTTCTCTCACCTGGTATAAAACAAAGGTCCCGTGTGTACCACCCCACTGATGGGTTGTTCTTTTATGAGATGCCCCATCAGGTTCGGCCTCCAGGCCCTGCAGGACACCGTGGGACAGGGCTGTGGCCTGCTGATGTTGACAGGACCAGGTTTGGGTTTGTGTGGACAGGGGTTGCAGGGTTCTAGCTGCCAGGGATGGGCTGACAGGAAGGTTTAAAGGCCGAGGCTGCCTCTGCTTCAGCCAAGATGCATGTAGCCTGCCTGTGGCCAAGCTCATGGCCCAGTGGGCTGAGATTCTGAGCTTGGCCTACCTGTGCCGTCCTTCAAGACTGGTCCCTCCACAGACTGGTCACCTCCCAGATGCAAATGAAGACAGAGCATCACAAACAGGCCGCTGTGACCGAAAAACATTCAATCGCGTGGGCAGCATGCAGATGCCAAAGGCCATACACCGGCACCCTCTCTCCACAGCCAACGGGGAGTGGGTGGTGTCCCTTCTGGAACGGTTTGCTTGGAACTGCTCACTGGCACAAGAAAGTTCAGAAAGGGCCTTGTGCCCTTGTTCCTCGTGCCATGTTACATGTGC